TCGCTAGCGCCGCAACAAGCGCACGGGCGGCACCGTCACGACCGCCAACCACTTTGACGCGTGGGCCAAGCTCAACATGAAGATCGGCACGACGCTCGTGTACCAGATTGTTGCGACCGAGGGCTACCACAGCAGCGGCTCGGCCAGCATCACGGTGGCGGCCGACGGCGCTTTGCCCAAGCCGACGGCGGCGCCGGTCCAGCCGACGACCAAGCCGACGACCAAGCCGACGGTCAAGCCCACGGCCAAGCCGGCGTCGAACGCCAGCCTTCCCTCGAGCTTCAAGTGGAGCTCGTCCGGCCCGCTCATCTCGGCCAAGGCCGACGGCAAGGGCGTGAACGCGATCAAGGACCCGACGATCGTGCAGGTCAACGGCCAGTACCACGTGTTTGCGAGCACGGCGTCGAAAGCCGGGTACAACCTCGTGTATCTGACGTTCTCGGACTGGGCCAAGGCGCAGGCGGCGCAGTTCCACTACCTCGACGCGACGCCGATCGGGAAGGGGTACCGCGCGGCGCCCGAAGTCTTCTTCTTCAAGCCGCACAACTTGTGGTACCTCGTGTACCAGAACGGCAACGCCGCATACTCGACCAACAAGGACATTGCCAACCCGGCCGGGTGGTCGGCGCCGCAGAACTTTTACGCGAGCCAGCCCAGTATCATCAAGCAAAACATCGGCAACGGCAACTGGGTCGACATGTTTGTGATTTGCGACGCTACCAACTGCCACCTCTTCTCGTCGGACGACAACGGCCACCTCTACCGGTCGTCCACGAGCATCAACAACTTTCCCCGCGGCTTCGGCGAGCCCGTAATCGCGCTCCAGGACACCGTCAACAAGTTTGCGCTCTTTGAGGCCTCGTGCATCTACCGCATCGGCAACGACTACGTGCTCAACATCGAGGCCATTGGCAGCGACGGCCATCGCTACTTTCGGTCCTGGAAGGCATCGAGCCTCAGCGGCGCCTGGAACGCGCTCGCCAACACGGAGGCCAACCCGTTCGCGCGCGCCAGCAACGTCCAGTTTGCCAACGGCGCCGCGTGGACCAAGAGCATCAGCCACGGCGAGCTCGTGCGCACGCAGACGGACCAGACGCTGACGGTGGACCCGTGCCAGCCGCTGCGCTTCTTGTACCAGGGCCTCGACCCCAAGGCCGGCGGCGACTATGACGCGCTGCCGTACAAGCTCGGTCTCTTGACGCAGACCAACGCCGTCAAGTGCTAATGCGATGTCATTGCCCGTGCTCTTGGCATGATCGGTCCGCTGTGCGCGACGTAGCGTCATATTATAAGCAACGTGATCTTTGTTTGGTATCTTGGCTTTGGCGGTGGTGGTGCTGTTTTGGGACGATAGTTCTTGGTCCACGCCTCCAACGCCGACGCGACATAGCACATTCAGTTGGCCGAAGAGTGTTGTGTTGGCATGCAAAGTTGTACCGATTCTGATTTCAAAGTGCGCCATTGCAGTTCGAGCTGGCGAGCAGGGTCGCCCAGAAAAGACTGGAACACCTTGCTGCCTGCATCGTTGCTCATTTATATACGAACGTGTTTCGCGTTATCTTCGTTGTTATTATACAAAGACTAGCCATCTCCTCATAAATCAGTACAATCGAAATCTGATGGCCAATCTGAGATCGACGCACAGCCTAATGTTGGCGAGTTCCGCGCACCGATAGTATCTCGTCAAGGGCTCGTCTAAAATCTCCAACACACAACTCCACAATGCCCCGGGGATACAATGACAGTACTGGAGTGTCTTAAATAGGAGTATTTGTTTAATATAATTCGAGATTTTGCTGCCACGAGAACGCCATGAGCGCAACGTAGCCGAGCACGACAAGCACGCCGAATAACGTGGCGCCGCCGCGCTGCTTCATCAGAGCCAGCGGGATTTTCTGTGACGGCAGCAAGATGATCCAGACAAGACCGATAAACTGGATCGCAAACGCAATAAGGTGCATGTAGGCGACGCGATGCTTGGTCTCTGCGTCGTTCTTCAAGCTCATCGTGGCGGGAAAGCCGTCGAGGAGCCACGAGCGCACCTTGTTAGCGATCGGCACGTTGAGGTCGCGGATCGAGGCCCAAAGACCCGCCATGACGGCTTCGTAGCCGACGCCGGCCATCTCGACCATGAGAAATCCCATGATGAGGTTGATGACGGCAACAGGAATGCCCGTGAGCACGAGCAGCACCGAGTAGAGGTACGCGTTGCGCGAGACGTCGCAGACGACAAAGAACGTGGCGAGGGCCATGAGCACAATGTTGGAAAACGTGGAGACGGCGAGGACGCGGCGCCAGTTCCACTGCAGCGCAAAGCGGCCGTAGTACATGGTCGCCGAGATGAAGAGGAGACGCGGCGTGATGTTGATCCAGCCCATGTCGAGGTGGGTGACCCACGATAAAATTGGCGAGCCCGAGATCATTGAGAAGAGGTTGAAGGCGAAGCGGAACGCGAGCAGCTGCGCGATGCCGCGGTTGTGCAGCAGCTTCCAGAGACCCGACGACCAGCGCTGGGACGACGACGACGATTCTTGCTTGGTGAGCGTGGGCTTGGTGTCGTGAAACATACCAATGACGAGGCCGAGACCGAGCAGCGCCATCGAGATGGCAAAGTAATAGGCGACGTTGGGACCGGCCGAGAAGTCGTACGTGCCGCCGTAGCGCTTGCCGTTGAGGAAAAACTGGTTGAAGAAGCGCGCGTTGAGACCGCCCGACCCCGTCGTCGCGTACGTCATGACCATGATCTGGCCGCGCGTAACAATGGGCTCCCGCTGCGAGTACTCGATGAGAAGCCCGTCGGCCGACGCAGCCACAATGACGACGCCGAGCGTGGCCACGAGCATCGGGATGCGGTACCAGCTCACGCGGTCCGGCGCGCCAAAGTCGTACGCCGCTTT